CGGCCTCAGTGGACGTTAGGTGCGAGGATTGACCTCGCTTAAATAGAACGACACTACCAACTAACAAAACAGGATACTCGGGCCGGCTTCCCTGGAGGAAATGCTTTATGCACTCTGTGTGGGACTGCAGTTCATAGCGAACTCTTACCCCGGTTCGCCATCTATTGATGTTATGCTACCCACTAAAACCCCCGTTCCGTATCGAACCCAGTCTCCTTCTGGAGTTTTCTCTTTATCTACTAGATTTGCCCATGTATTGCGTAGTGTTTCGGGCTTTAGGCGGAGTTTATCGAAGCGCTCGTGTGTCATCGCCATGTCCAGAACGAACTCCAATGATCCTAGACGTGAGGCAAACGCGAACGATGATATAATGGGACAGTAAACTGTGACATCGAGATAATTGGCATACTAATGTGACTGGTATCCTGCTATCGCCACAGGCCAGGTTTGGGATACACTGTGAGGCCAGCCACTGCGCATAAAGCAAAATTTATCATGATCCGAGCCGTGCTCGGGAGCATCGAACTCGAAGGGGCAGTGAGCGTCAAGAGCGAGACGCGTTGACGCGCGCGATGGGACGGTTGTGATCGCACGCTGGTCATTGGACGCGGCTCCTTCCGTTGTGTGCTCCGCACCGAAGTCGCTTCGCCGAGCGCACCTCCTTCCTCACCGACCACCATGTCCCTCTCTTTACTCGCTTCTTCAGGTGCGCTAGACTCGCCGTATCAACGCCTGAGCCAAATGCTAACATTTCAATTCAGTAGCGAGCGCAAGCCGCACGCGAGTGCCCGCGTCCGGAGTCGCAGGTGAGTATTCCTGTCAATTATATTCAATTCATCTACTCACAAAAATGTGGCCCATCCACCAGTACTCCGCGCGTTGCACTCTTCTCGTCCGGTCCAGAAGCCGGAGCCCTTGCCCGTCTCTTCGACAGACCCCACAAACCCCATTACCCAAATCGCCAAGTCGGGCAGCAACCAGCTGAGCTTGGAGAGGCCACAGAACAAGGCCGAGTATGTGCTCAGCACAATGGATAAGATTGTCAACTGGGCACGACAGGGCAGTATGTGGCCTATGACCTTCGGTATGGTTTACAAGACTTGGTTTTGAACATAACTGACTACGCATCTTTCCCCCTCCTCCTTCCACCTTCACTTCACTGCCCGACTCTCGCCGCCACCACCAATAACAGGTCTTGCATGCTGTGCCGTGGAGATGATGCACATGGCCGCTGCGCGGTACGACCAGGACCGACTGGGCGTCGTCTTCCGTGCTTCCCCGCGTCAGAGTGACATTATGATTGTCGCCGGTACCCTCACGAACAAGATGGCACCTGCACTCCGCAAGGTGTACGACCAGATGCCCGAGCCAAGTGCGTACACAGTTGTCTTATAGAAACGTTTGTGCTTACCGCCAATTTAGGATGGGTCATTTCCATGGGTAGCTGTGCCAACGGTGGTGGATACTACCATTACAGCTACTCCGTCGTACGCGGTTGCGACCGTATCGTCCCCGTCGACATCTATGTACCGGGATGCCCGCCCACAGCCGAGGCACTTCTCTATGGTATGCTCCAGCTCCAGCGCAAGATGCGTCGTAACAGGAAGGGTGTCTTGTGGTACCGCAAGTAGAAGAGAGTTGTCAGCATCGGGTCGGTTCGGTCACATATATTATCGCTTTGCACACAATACATGTCTGCATCCTCTGCATAGTGACGCTCAGGTGTGAGGGTCCTCTATACATCAAGTTAGGGTACGCACACACTCTGGTTCGGCACCCTGGTTCAACAACCACCTCATTGTCGGAGTCCGTTTATGTGTCGGCGGCTGTGTCCATATGCAAGTTGCTGACATGGTATCTGCAGTGTGAGTACCACGAGGCCACTTATCGTGCTCACTTGTCACTCGACGACCATTGACATCGACACATATTGTCCGTCAACCCATGCGCGCCGACGCGCCGAACGCCATTCCGCGCTTTTCGCGCTCGAACGCCGCGGGTCATCATCCGAGAAGATCAAGGAAACTACAATGGATAAACGAGCTGGACTGTCTCTGGCCGCAATAAGCCCCCTCCATCTCCTCGGCGGCGACTCTATTCCACAGGTCCGCCTAAGGCCACCTGCTAAAAGCCTGCCTGCTGACACAGTGATCCGAAGCTCCAGCCATGTCAGCGCGACCCGCCGTCCGCTTCTCATTCAGTTCGGCGCGTGAATGGCCTCCCATCACGGCCGGGATTCGCCGCGAATGAGCGATCGTGCTCTTGGCTGTCAGGCCCGCCGCACTCGACGGGGCGGCCTACTGCCTACTGCTGAGGTATAAAGACTAGATGACGCCTGTTCTGGTTTGCTTCGTTGGCGCTCAGCTCATCAGCTCCTTCGACTCCTTGTCCCTCAAGCTTCAAGCCCACAAGTCTTACGATCATCATGAAGCTTTCCACGTCCATCTTCGCCATCGCTCTCGCCGTCTCTGCCGGTGCGGCACCCACCAACGAGGCTCGTGCGGACCCTCCCTACGTTACTCGCTGCGAACAAGGGCGCATCGTCGAGGAGACTCACCGCGAGGACTTCCCATGGATCAAGCAACTCGTACGTCCGCGCGTCATCACATTCATCAAAATGGTCCTTCTGACTCTCACTTTCGTAGTACTCCCCGTGTATTGCAGGTGCCGACGCGAATAACTTCTGGAACCGCAAGGTCTGCGTGGCCGCCGCGGTCGCGATGGGCGTACGTATATGTTCGACTCCTCTCGCACCAGATGATTCTTACGCAATTACTTCAGCCCAGGACCATCGTCGACTACGGTGTTTGTGACAAGGCGTCTCTCCCGGAACAGAACAAGTACCCTTACTTGGATTACGGCGTGTACGCTAGCATTGTCGGCGATTGCGCCTACGACTCTCCGGCGTGTGGTATCACTCGTCAGAACATCCTCGACCTCGTTTATGGTCAGCTCAAGACTGTCAAGGCTCAGATCTACCCCACGTACGTATGCTCCTCTGAATATCGACTTGTAGCAACTGACATGTTTTCTGACAGAAACGTCACCGAGATGATCGACGACGTGATCAGCCCCATCTTTAGGTGGTCCGGGCGCGATGCCATCCCATACTCGAGCTTCAACAAGTGGCTCCAGATCTCGGGGTACCCTACCAAGGTCATCGACGCTACGCATGACGATGGCAAGACGTACTACTACGATCATGACGATGACCTGAAGGTCTGAGTGTGGTTTTGCTCCCTTACCACGGACATTCATGAATGCTACGGACAATGACATGGACTTTCATTTGTGCTTCCGGGGTTCCCCTCTTGTTGGGTCAGGAATGTACCACGGTATAATGTCATGAGGCTCCTTCAAGATCCGCTGCTTCTCCATCAGGGCTTATCCAGATTCATCTTCCAGTAGCATATGGGCTGATTGTATCCAAGATACTGAATACACAATACGAGGCATAGTAAACAGCTATATTGTTGGCAGGAATCTAGCACGACGCGTTGTACGCGGATGAACTCGAAGAGGATGCTGGGGCTACATGGAATTGCGATGCAGTACAAGACCGAACACGTCGATGGAGGAAGGCAGGGTATGTGCTAGCGGTGGACAATAAAGGATGGGAAGTAGAGAAGAGCGAAGCGTTCCATGTGCAAGTATACGAGGCATTCCCAGTCGAAGGCACGTCAATGTCGACGAAGACGCCCCAAAACGCGGCCTCCCACCGCAGGAAGGTGACCTGTAGATGAGTTTATCAGAGTCTAGACATGACCTTTAGGAAGGGTTCGCATACCGAACACGAAAAACGGGCCCCAGCCGACAAGAACGAGCGCAATATGCTGAGTGCCGAATGGAGAGGGCTCGTCGCGGTGCCTCGCGAGATCGATCCAGGTCGATAAGCCCGCCAGTACAACAATGCAACTGAAGGCGCTGATCGAGGGCCATCAGAGCCCCGGTTACAACGTTGGATGAAAGGATGGACGTACACTTGGAAGAATAATATGCGACGCAAGGCGCCGGTAAGCTCCGAGGAGGGTAACAATGACCCACTTCTTGCTCTTGCTGTCCAAGCATTCAGTATCATGAGAATAACGCATCTCCAGAGACTACGTACTGAGCCCCGCAAGCATCGGCGGCCACGTGCCGTACATCGATCCGTCTTCCTTGGACCCTCCTCTACTTGTCTGTGGGAGCTGAGACCATCTCTGAACGCGATGGACAACCAAATGCTGCTCTGTGTTGGGGGTAGTTGAATCGTCGTCGCAATCCATTGGTGAGACGGGCATCTGATCGAGCCCATCATAGTAATGTAGAGCGCCAGGGTCGAACGAGGGACTTCGCGACGAAACCGTAGGGGTCCGATGCACTGGTGCGAAAGTGATGGGAGACGGCGGCGTTCCTGCTCCCTCTCGGAAGAAGGGAGACGGAAGAGTGGAAGAAGCGGGTTCGAGATGTGACGAGTACCGCTGTAGGCCAGAACAGCTCTCGGGCAGGACGTGTGAGAGGTCGGAGACGGCGGCGTCGTGAACGGTGGGCGGTGATGGAAGCCAAGCGGAATCCGAGAGTGAATGCGGCATAGAGACCACGCTGATCTTGTCCAGTTGCTTCTCATGCGAATGAGCTGACGCGAGGAAGCTTTGCGTACGCCTCTCCCGCTCTAACCTACTCATGACTCGCTCTTCCGCGGTTACGCGCTCTGAGGTTATGCGAATGGGTGATAGCCGCGCAGCTTGCTCTTGACGGTTTGGTGGTGCCCTTCGCTTACGAGATACCGCGGTGATTCTATGGGCCGTGATGATGGACAGCACAAGGCAAGGCAAGGAAGCGAGGAAGGGAGCGCCGGCGTAACCAAGTAATCGCGGCCTGATGTTGAGTCAGATTTGTGTCCGTCCATCATACAGAGGTAGCTATATATTACTCACCAGAGGGGATGCTGAATCTCGCATGCAAAGCCATCCGCTGAGCGAAATGACGTGTGTTCTTTGAAGGAAGTGGTTAAGAATGCAGAAGTAGCGGCAAGAGGCCACAGAACGACGGGTAAGATGTAGATGCTTTTCCACTCCAATGGATTCCTGCTATCAGTCAGTGCCTCGTCATTGCATAGCAACCAGAGGACAACATACCGTCTGTGACGCAGGGGTCCGTGCTTGAGGTTGAAGACGGTCGAATAAGTGGATACAGCGAGGCAGATGCAGATCCCGCTGAGGACATACGCTCCGATAGAAGGTACCGTAGCTTGTGCGATGCAGAAAGAGTGAGTTGTGCGCATGCGCGATAGATTGTAGATTAGGCCTGATGGCAGACTTATGAGCATAAGAGTTTGAGAAAAGAAAGGGGGACGCACCAATTGCGAACACGCTATCCATTACGGTGACAGTGAGCCCATAGACCATTTGACCCCACCAATGACCTGTCGCAGCCGAGAACGGTATGAGGACGAGCCATGAGGCAGGGATGGCTGTTAACGTGAGAATGACCCAGATCACTCGCAGAGCCAGGGAAGACATGCGAGTCACAGAGAGCACCACAACTACTGCTGAGCGCAAGCTCCGACCTCTGCAGACCACGGAGCGTCGAGAGATCACACGATGATCGAAGGCAGGGAGTGGATTGGTGTTCAGCGTCACTGTGCGCAGTATTATAGCGACCTCGCTGAGGTGTCCGGTTGTGACTGTTCTGTCTATCGGTACCCACCCCGCGCACAACTCAAAACCAACTGCTTCGCGAACGGACTGGCCACGCTTTCAAGCCGAGGTTTTCTCACCCGTCGTCACGAACTCCATTCATCTTCCCAATACGGCTGTCAGAGAAGCAGCACGCATTCAAAGTTAGGGACCTCAGCTGACGAAGGCGGGTATAGCGGTATTGTCAATCAACGTATGTTCGGGCGACGAACTTCAGTGCGCTGAGCGTTGAGATGTGACAGTTGGCAACGTCGCGGGGGTTCAGGTCAAGAAACATGACTGCGCCAACGTGTTCCGGCGAACTCCGTTTTCTCCCACCCTTTTCCGATTGGTGAAGTTCTTTCTCTCGCGGCCAAGCCACATCACACGACGCATGAAGCAGGTCCGAGATGAGTACTGGTGGGGCTTGTCGGTTCTGTACTGGTGCAAGTACCATGGCGGCGTTCGCCACAGCGCGCACTTGTAGTCTCGACATGAAGCGCCTGGACTAGGCCTATTCGACATGCTTCTCAGTTGATCTATCATTGAATAGACAAAGCTTCCATGTAGACAGTGTATGAAACGTCACACACGGCGTCCGTGGTCTTCGAGATCGTGTCGCGATAATGGGAGGATCGACAATCGACTGGGCCGATGGCTTCTGAACAACACCTGCGAATGATAAGCGATCAGGTCGATAAAAGTCTCTTCAGGCTACGTACGTATCCAAACAAGCACGAGAGTCGTGGAAAGAGTGTCTTTAGCGAATGTCTGTTAGAACCGTGTAGTCTCTGCAAGATGCCTGTCAGCCATCTTGATCATAGACATACACAGAACTCAGGACGTACAATCGCTGCGAGCCTTTTGGCGAGAGGCGCCACGGTACATTCACACACGAGTGTATGGAAGATACGGGCACAGGAGAGCATTCGTCTTCAAGACGCCCGAGTTGTACGGAGTTGGGTGAAAGAAGACTCCTGGTCGTTACGAGGGATTTGTCCCAGAGCGTAGTTCAACGGGGTCCCAGGTTATCGTGATCCAGACCACCCAACGCCTCCTCTCGCGTTCATCCTCGACCTCGGCCCTAGAAACATCCCATTCCCGACTTCCTTCTCCGGCGACTTCTCGTTCGATAGCCCTGTGAACAACAAGGCCCGACTTGCCGATGCGTTTCATGAAGGTCTCAACAGTATACCGGCCGGTATGCAATCCTGCAACGCAATGGGCTCGTGCACTTGATCGCCGCCCGAGGGTCCGCGTGATAGACTGAATGAGAAGCTCATGCGTATCCGGATTCCATAACGTATCCGCCGCCAGTACAACGTCGAAACCGGCCGGCGCGTGCGCAAGCAACGATGCAGGATCCGATCCCCATGCATAAGGGACGACGTGAACGCCCCGCACGTCGTTGCGCTTGACGCTATGCTCTAACGCGGCGATGATAGCATCGTCTGGGTAGTCCGAGCACACGACTACCGAACGCGGCGCGGCCTTTGAAAGCAGGACGCTCGGAAGACCCGCGCCCGCGCCGAGCTCAAGAACTGTGACACGTTCGGGTAGTTGTGCGAGAAGCTCTGGTAGATGATCCGCGATGAAGACCGACGCCACCCAGACAGACGAAGCGTGCAAATCCCAGTTCTTCGCAGCTGTGTCGGGCGTACGTAGAGTGACAGTCAACGGGGCAAAAGGAGCCGTGTATACGAACTCATCGCCCGCAAAGGATTGAGTCACAGGTGCATAGTCGTAGAGAACGCCGAGCGCGCTGTGAAGGATGTCTTCTGATTCCGTCATGGACGTCGAGGGCAGGCGGTAATTCTGCGCTCCACGTGCGAAATCAAGCTGCGCGACGTGCTGCTCGTCTTATGCGACCTGCGTTGACGTTCTGCGTTCAACGTCAACCCTCATGATCTCTTCCAATGGCTTGCGCAGAGGTGTATCCATGCGTGCATAGCCTTTTCACAGTGTCACGACACTTGCGCAGTTCTTAAAGGCCATCCATCAAGACCGGCTTCCCCACAGGGTTTATCTTGTACATACACGAGCCGCTTTCCTCGCGTTTGATCGTGTTCTACCCGGATCACAACCCCTCTCATCGCGCGTGCGTGCTCAAGGCGCACTCATTGCCTCACAGTGTACCGCCGCCCTATCCGACTCGGACTATGCAAACGCTAAGCGCTGAGCTATCTCAGGCCGACGAACTCTCATGACCCGCGCCACGGTTGCGTTATCCATTGACGAACTTACGAATTCCATCAGCTGTCCATAGTATAAGTACGAGACGTGCTCTTGGCTATGCGGGTATCGCTTTCGTATCGCGCGCCATGGCTCACGTTCACGCCTTCTCCGAAGCTAACAAGCAGTATGCGGCTGCATATCCTGCTGAATACACGTCGCTGGCGATGCCGCCCAGTCGCAAGGTCGCCGTAGGTTTGTCCTCCTACCGTACATGCATAGCATTCATGCTGACCCCGTACACGCACTCTAGTCACTTGCATGGACGCACGCTTAGAGTAAGACACGGCGCGATGTGTTTCCTTCGTCGCGCTGAAGCCTCTCGGCACAGTCCACTTTCAGCGCTGGGTATCAAGTTAGGCGATGCGCACGTCATCCGCAATGCCGGCGGTGTTGGGTACGCATCACCAAGACCGTTCACTACCAAGTTTCTCATCCTCCACTCGTAGGCAGGATGCTCTGCGTAGCCTAGTTATCTCACAACGTCTACTCGGCACGCGCGAGATTGCCGTCTTCCATCATACCGACTGCGGCATGCTCACGTTCACATCCGACCAACTACGCACAATTGTCAAGGATCAAACGCCCGCGGCGGGCCCTCTTGTCGATGCAATTCCGACGTTCCATGAATTCAGCGACCTCGATGCGGCGGTGAAGAACGACGTGAAACTACTCAAAGAGAGCCCTCTGATCCTTGACGAGACTGCCATCACTGGTTGGATACATGAGGTGGAGACGGGCAAGGTTCGTGGACCGTGGTGTATGTCCTACAGTTGAACGTCACTAATCTTGGTACGCTAGGTCCGTCAGATCGTGTAAGGACATAACGATAGCCTATCTCCGTACTATTACGACGTACTCGACCAAGATAACCGCCACTTGAAACCGTACAATGTAAACTGCAATTGGGACCTCGCGCAATATCACCTACATTCGGTGCGAGATTGGAAATCGGGACCACGATACAGCACAATATAATCTAGTGTCCGTTCGCACTGTCCCGAGAGAGGGTCTGCAAAGCCCAGGATCCACGAATGCGCACTGGGTTACTTGCCGTGGGAGTTACAGACGATGTAGACTATCCTATACTCTTGAATGGTGATGTAAGTCGTGATCGCAGGCGGTGTCGTCCAACCAGACGCCCCCGTCACTCGTCCCACGACCGTCGGAGCCGACTGGCGGGAAGAATCTGCGATCTAGGATATTCTACAACGTTTAGAAACCCCACGGCAAGTAACCCACTCAGTCACGTGTCGGAAAACCTGCGAAGTCGTGATCAAGCTCTGCGGGCCTTGACGGCGTGATCAAGCTTGGCGAAGCATTGTCAAGCTCCCTGGGGGGCTTGATCAAGCTTGATCATGCCCTACCAGCTACCAATATACGAATATGCTCCAGAGCCCTCTGGGGCACCCTG